ACCATAGATATGAGAATTTCAAGCCGCAAGATTAAAAGATAACGCCTGGGATTTTGTAAAAGCAAACAATCCTTTCTATATCGTGCTAAATAAATCACCAATCAACGTGAATTTAATGTAATACAAATTCGCAATAATCAAATCGTAGTCATGCAAAAATTTATTGACCAATTGCAATCACGCGAAAATTGATACATTTCGCGTGATTGTAGAATATAAACTTCAGGCGCCATAGTAAAAATCTTCACATTATTTTCAAGCCACAAGCAAAATAATAGTTATTTCTGCAAATTTCAATGAGTCAAAAAAAAAAACTGCCTTTGATTTTTTGTTTATTAAACTATAGTAGAATTATAAAAAGAATCTATGTTCAATTTTGCTGTGAATATTTATTGTTTGTTAACGAATGTGAGCTTGCCATTATGCGAAAAACCTCATACATTTGCTCTTATAAATATTCACCAATTTTTTTAAAGTTTCCACTTTGCTTCCACTGACGTTTATTAAAAGTGTTAACTTTTAAAAATGAACAAACTTTTGTTAATCCTGTTATTAGCTCTCGCAACTATCACCGTAGTTGCAATCTCTAGTCCCGAAGCTGAACCAAACTTACAGAAAAAGGATGCCGAGCCTCTCCTCAAGAAAAAGGATGCCGAACCTCTCCTCAAGAAAAAGGATGCCGAACCTATCCTTATGAAAAAGGATGCCGAACCTATCCTCGATAAAAAGGATGCCGAACCTCTCCTTAAGAAAAAGGATGCCGAACCTCTCCTTAAGAAAAAGAATGCAGGGATCAAGAAAAGGGATCCAATCTTAATGAAAAAGGATCCAATCTTAATGAAAAAGGACCCAATCTTAGGCCTCCGCATAAGACGGGTAGAGCCGGGTAGTATATGTACCCTAACCCTACCCGTTTGTGTAACAGTTCTTAATATTCATGCCCTAACCCTACCCTAAATCCCTAAATTTAATACTCTGACCCGGCTCATGTGGGCCAAGGGTATCTATAACTTACCCTCGGGCCTTATACTGTATTATATACAAATTAATATAATGCAATTCGCACCTACAAATCTACTAGT